AAACTTTCAACACCTACGCCACCAACTGCAGCCGAACCAAAAGTGGCTAAAGCACGCTCTTCAAATTCGCTCAGCGGTTTGCAACCTGGACCACCACCAGTAATTCTTTGACTCATCTTTAATCTGCGTGCTCGCGTACGCAATTGGCTCTTCCAAACTCCGAGGGTCTAAAATTATGGCAACATTAAACAACGATATCCATTCATATATATTTATGTATGTATGTACATACATTCATATACATACATGTATAAGCATATAATAACTGAGATAAAATAAATTACCTCTTTCCACTTTACTGCGGTGCGTGTTGGTCCCCTCAATGCATTCAGCTCGTCCGCCAACTGATTCCATAAGCACTGCATTTTCTGTGGCGACTTCGGGTTATTCTTTCCTTTCCCCATATCAGGATTAGCTCGGACAAATGAGACAAAACGCTGCAACTGCTCCTGCGTAACACGATAGTGTTTTGTTTTTCTGTAAATATTTAAATAGCTTATATAAAAGTAATGTAAAACCGAAATTCTTACGTTTTCTGTTCTGTTTCTGTTTACATTACGATTTTCACCATAGTGTGGGGAAAAGCACAGGGTGTAAAAGCTTTTCAGTTTTATCAAGTTATGCACAGAATGCCGAAAAGTTTTAAACTTGATAAAAATCTTAATTATTTGTCAACTTTCTGTTAAATTGTCAAGTGCACAGAATTAGGCTGTAAAGGGCCATTCCCATACAACTTTCCTCGCTTTGCTTGACAGTTCAAACTTTGACAACAAAGCGTGAAACGCAGAAGGTATGCTACAATAAACGCTTTGACGGCTTTTGCGTTCTCCTTTTCCTCCGCACGAGAAAAGATACGTAGACAGCTGATTGCCAAAGCCGGCAAAAGTTGAGAGTTGCCCAAGATTTTGCTTCGTTTTGCTTTGCTTTGCTTCAAACGTTTTTTATGTGATACTCATGCATATGCCTACATCGATCTTATATGTCAAAGCAAAGAACTATCAAGCAAAGCGAAGAAAGTTGTATGTGAATCAGCCTTAACACATTCTCGCCTTTAGGTAACGCTTGTTTGCGGTAGTGTCCACCTCTGAGCATAAGTCACATAAAATGAGATGACTAGATTCGTTCAAAATAATTAGCGAAGAGGGATGTTTCACCCGCAGGTGAAAAAAATATTGCAATCGCCATAACGCTCATCACTAAAACCCAAGAGAGACCGGCATGCTTATGCAGATAAACTAGCACATAAATGCGCATAATAATTTTGCCCTTACAGACGGCAGTAATGCGTATAAATGAGCCGCAAGATCGCGGGTTCGATTCCTACGGCCAGTAGAATTTCCATTTATTGCGTTTTTATTATTTTTTTTTATAAAATCTATATTTTTTTTAACGTTGCTTTCAGTTAGTTGTCGTTGACTTTTTATTAAAATTCAACTCAAAAAATTTAAATTAACTAATAGTGAAATAAAAAATGTGATATAAAATGAAGCAAGGGGAAATAAAATAAAGTAAAATTAAATATATAAATAAAAATAAAAATTAAAAATAAATAGAATAAATAATAAAAATAAATTTTTTTTGGCAAACTCGCTTCTTTGTTTGCTTACTTGTACAAAAGACAACAGCTGGCCGTTTTTACCAGTGTTGTCATCGAAAATTCCCCTGATACGAGGTAATTCCCAAAAATTGCATGCATTTTTGCGGCTGATTATGCGCATTTTAGAGCGGAAAATGCATGAGTTAAAGCAAATAAAGGCTGTTAATGAAAATAAGCGAGCCCGTTTGTCAACCGTATAATATTACCATTCAAAATCACGTTTACATTCACAATTACAATTCCCAATTTCGTTTTGTACCATGTATGAAATATAGGTATGTCTCTTTACTTAAGTATAAACGGATAAGAATCAAAGTGCTGGAAGAGATTTGAGCTTTTGGTCCCAAAAGTATTTTTGATGTTGAAATTGTACTTAAAATCGGGAAATTGTACTTTTTTACTTTTAAAATCTAATTGTACTAAAAAAAGTTCAATTGTACTTAAAATATCAACACTCGTTGGCGGGCTAGTCGCCGTTTTTTTTTTATATAATGTGGATGTTTCCACATTAAATGTCCGTTTTTGTTAAAAAAAAAACGCTAAATTGTTAAAACGCTAAATTGTTAATTAAGCTCTAAATATAAAAAAATGGTTTTGGTTTTGAAAAGATTATAATTTTTTCTACTAAACCAAAACTGACAAAATAATTAATGCATTAAATAATGGCAATGAAAGTTACGATATTTAATTGGCCATTCATTTTAATTAACGAACACAATTTGTCGATATGTATATTAGACATTCTTCGTCAACTGAAGCCTCCCTCTCTACAAAATTGGTTGACATACAAAAATCGGTTACATTTTTGAAAATTCGGTAAACATGTCGCCCGTTTAATAATATACAGAATTATTTCAAAATTTAAATTTTGTGGAAAAACGCAATCAAAGTTTGTTCAGTTCAATTAGTATACCACAAGGTAGATGGAAAGACACATATCTTCGCCATTTTTGGGAAGTTTAGTCATCTGTTTGCCTTGCATATTCTCCTTAACAAGCTTATTAATTGTATGCTGAAATCCTCAAAAACGTAAATTTTGAATTACATTTCTGTATTATTCAACGTGCGATGTGTACTTTTAAATTACGAGTGGATTTTTTTTGAAATCCAAAGAATTGAAAAATGACTAGATTTGTTACTCGGGGGTTTTTGGGGTTGATGATTATGAGTGTGGGGCCAATTTCAACGTAATATTAGTATCTTTTGTGCATTTACATATAATCGGTAAGCATTTTTTTGGAGAACAGGGTCGAGAATTCTCCCTAATAATAGAGGAACATGAAGTTGCATTTGTAATCTCGAGACGAAGGGGCACTAAAGGTATTAAATATATACTTTCATCTGAACTTTCTGAAGCTTCGCATCGTTGTTTATAATTAAACCCAGACGTGCCATCACCCCTATACTACTTTGAAATCACCTTTATCGTTTTTATTTCTATAGGAGTTTTTATGCTTAATCATCTGGATGCAGTATGATCCAAAAATCTTGTAACTTATGTGATATGTTTATAGGATGTAGAGTCCGACCGATTAATCGGCCGATGCCGAGGTTAGTATCGGCAAAAAGATGGGATGGCAGTATGTCTGCATTTTTTTCCTTTAACTTTTCTCTTAAAGCTTGCCAAGGATCGATCTAAAAAACAATGAAAGTACCTCATCATCAGAAATGGAATTAAATCATCGTTTTTTTGTAATGTCTGCCTCATTGTTTTCCAAAGTTATTATCAAACCTTTTCTTACTAAATCAAATTTGCAATTTAACACAATAAAATCACGTTTCCCGACGAAAAATTTAATATTGAGAGATTGAGAAAATTCACTGTTTGACAGCTTCTTTTCTCCCCCCATTCGGCTTTGTTTACTATTACTTGAGAAATGCCATCTTGTATACTATCATTCTTGTTATTAGGGACACGAATTTCGATACGATATGATACCATATCGATATTTTTGCCATTCGATAACGATATTTTTTGGAATCGAGTACCAGAACCCATGTATCGTATCGAATCGTAACTGTACATTACAAAGTTAATGATACATTTGTATGACAAAATATTAGAAAACAAAATGAAAACGCAAAAATTTAAAACTCTGGGAATTGGGCAAGACTATCTGTATAAAACATTTTGTAGTAATATTTGAAATATTTAAAGTTAATTTCCCAACTTCCAAAATGTAAAAATCTGTCCTGCTTTTTTATCAGCCGAAGTATCTGACGTGACGTTACCTTACTAAAATTTCTATTGAGAGTTTTGTTGTTAGCATTGTTTTTAAACAAGTTTTAACTCAAATAAAACATGAATTTTAGCCTAAGCTGGGGTTCCATTTCTTGCAAATCTATGTCGTACTATAACCTTACTTACTTTGGAATTTCTATGTAAAGAAATATGGATATATTTTGCGCTTTAAAGCGCAGAAATGTGTACTATCTTAGGTTGGTATGTGTACTATCTTAGGTTGGTAGAAGTCCGATCACTGCTTGTAAGCTGATTATTAAATCGAAATTCTCATCTCATCCTTTTTATCTCAGAACACTCTCTAGAACTTTTAGTTTTTCGCAAAGTGGCTGAAAGAAGTTTTGCTCTTTTATTGCCGAAACCTTAATCCATCGCTTGTTAAAGCTTGGCATAAAATGGCGACATATTTTAAATCGAAATGATCCGTCTAATTATTCAGATGCATTGTACTTATCTTTAAAAGAATTTAAGAGTATATCTACATTCATAACTCTTGGAGAAAAAAGTGTAGTGCATAGTTTTTTGTAGAGTCCGACTGATTAGTCTGCATTGGCATCAGCCGTTTTTGGCCAATTCTTTTTACTTCATGTTATTTATTTTTTTACTTATTAATTCGTTTAACGTTTAAAATATTAATTCACCTGAGTCCCCCTGTAATAAATCAATGCTAATATATATTTTGAAAGCCGTTTTTTAGTGTTCGCAAAGCTCGAGAACGGCTGAACCGATTTTTTTGAAATTTCAGACACCCGCCGCACGTATCCCAAGGATGGTTTTAGGCTAAACAAAGATTCGATATGTAAAGGGGGCGTGGCACCTCCCATACAAACCGAATTTTTTCATACTGCATATCTCTGGAAGTGTTCATGGTAGAGTTCTATAACTTCGTATGGAGATATACGAAATTAATCGCATACTCTTGGAGAAAAATTGGAGCTATTGGAAAAGAGGGCGTGGCGCCTCCCATACAAACTAAATTTTTTATACTACGTATCTCTGGAAGTGTTCATGGTAGAGTTCTGGAACTTGGTACGGAGATATACGAAATTAATCACATACTCTTGGAGAAAAATTGGAGCTATTGTAAAAAGGGGCGTAACACCTCCCATACAAACCGAATTTTTCATACTGCATATCTCTGGAAATGTTTATGGTAGAGCTCGAACTTGGTATGGAGATATAAGAAATCAACCGCATAATCCTCAAGAAAAATTGGAGCTATTGGAAAAGGGGGCGTGGCACCTTCCATACTGCATATCTCTGGAATTGTTCATGGTAGAGTTCTGGAACTTGTAATATAATATTTGGTTTAATTGAAGCCTCATATGAAAAATTATATCTAATCTTTTTAAAACATTAACAATTTTTTATGTTTAAAGCTTATGAGGTGGGTTTTGTCGAAGGTTGAGGTAAACCCCGCCGATCCAAAGTCCAGCGAAGGTCCCACTAACACCACCAAATACAAGTAATTTTTAGCAAAAAAAAAACCGACTTAAACTCTCATATAAAAATATATCTCATGATCCACTGATCGGATCTCAACCAGATTAGTATGGGACCACCTCTGAGACACTATCTTTCCAATGCAAAAAGAATTATCGAAATCCGTTGAAGTGGTCCAAAGTTATGCGGTAACATACATAAAAAAAAAATATTCCGACAAACTGATAACCTCCTCCTTTTTTGGAAGTCGGTTAAAAACACAATATACTCGTGTATTTAATTCGAGCACACAAACATATATGCGCTATGACTAGAGTGCCGGCAACCTTAAGCTTAAATTAGTGGTCACATAACCATAACCATATAAATCAGCTGTTCCAACCAACCTTATGGCCAACACTGTATTCGATTAGTGTTGCCACACCATAACGTCATAGCCGTAACCATAGCCATAGGGACCAATTGAATTTTGGTTTTCCGCCAAACCATATCAGCTGATATCTGAAGTGTGTGTTGC